ATGTATGTATGTATGTATGTATGTATGTATGCATGTATACATGTAAGGATGGATGTATGTATGGATGGATGGATGGATGAATGGACGGATGGACGGATGGACAGATCGACGGATGGATGCATGGAAGCATGGATGAATGGATGCGTTGTGCGCAGGTGCGTGTATGTGAATCAAGTTGCCTCACTTACCCGGCAAAATGTTGTCCAGGTTGAGTATGAAGCCCCCACTCATGAAATAGAGGGAGAATATTATCTGAGCAAAAACGCTGGCGAGTTCGTAGGTCGGAAGAAGTGCCGCTGACATCATTGCTATGCAACGAGATGAAAAGACTGACGCCGACACAAAAATGTAAAACTGAAAAAAAGTAGAAAGGGTTCAATGCAAAAAGTATAGAAGCTCACGTAGATCCTGAAAAAGAGATGACAGTGTAAAACTTTTCATCCGTGAAGGTCAACTTAAGCCCTCCATCAGAAAGTTATTTGAACTGGTCTATGTTCTCTGTTAGGTAGTTTAGTTTTAGTAAGAATTTTACTGAACTTGCAACACAGTTGGGTCATATTAGTGCCGTAGATTAGAGATGCTACAAAAGAGATGCAAAACACAAAAAGAATGAGGAATAAGGAAAATAAATGTTTGATAGGAAAGTCTCCGTATTGGTTGTCGTGAAACAATGCAGTGAATGGATTCTAACTTGTAAGTAAGAACAGGGATTGAAATTTATTACTTTACTCTTTTAGCCTTTTTCTGTAAGAAACTTTGAACTAAAATAAGGACACAATTCAAATAACTGTTGGGCTTTTATGGAGCGCTTGCCTCTTGAATGGATGTCCCGGGTTCAATTTCAAGAATGAATCTTTTGGATTTTTCTCAAGGACTTGAAGCATAGTTTCACGACTTGCAATATGTTACTGCAGTGGAGAATATTATGGTGCCGAATAGGTTTCTAAAAAGATGACCAATTTAAAGGGCAATAACCCGATCATCTCTTCATGAATTCAACAAATCTTCGCAAAAATTCAACCAAGAGAGTATTAAATCAATTAATAAGAAGAGAATTAACTAACATGTTCGAGTATAATTAAGTTTTTAAAATTTCAATCAAAACTGAGTTTAAAGCAAAACTTTACAGTTTCTTAAAATCAACCACATTGTGCATTTGTACGCGAAAAGGACACATTCATTCATAACTGGCATATCAAAACTGACTCACCATAAAGCACGAGTAGGCGTCAATATTCAGCCCGGTCAAGCCGTAGACTGGCACACAGTAGATCAGAAGAAACAAGAGGTGGAAGGGAAGATCACTAAACACCTGGTGGGAGAGACGGTTGAGACTAGCGGCTTACCATCTCTCTCTCTCTCTCTCTCTCT